TGTGAGCTAGCTGCACGACAAGCTGCTATAGTTGAACTGTCGTTGTCACCTATTAATACTCCAACTTCCAAATTTTTTGATTTGAGAACTGTACTAGAAGTTACAATATTCTTTGCAACGTCGGGGTTCCATTGCTTTCGCAGTTCCCCAGAAGTTTAATCGACAATCATGATTGGCTGGATTATTTCCGCTGTCGCATTTCTTACATTTTCTGTTACGAGTTGAGTAATCAAGAACAAGTCCAGACATGTTACCGATAATAGCTCCAAATCCATTCAAACTGTCGTAATTTCTTCCAGTACCTCTTCTGCTCCAGCCCATATCGTATGAAACCATAATGCGCACAACGTCATCGAATGTTACCAGCGCTTCCTCTACTTGAAGCCTATCTTCATTAGACAGACTTTCCTGGCCATTTCGAGTAACCTCGAGTATCTCTTCACCGATTGAAAAATTTTCTCTCGCCAGTGGTCGATTAGGAATCACGAAACCGGATTGCAAACTCTCTGGCCTATGCAATACCAATCGGAAAGAATTAGTAAATGATCCATGCATTTATCATAAAGGTGAATGATACAAATACTGCGCTTGTACGAAATTTATTGATACATTTTTAATTATATTTCATTTTGTACATTTATGTATATATTTATGTATATATTTATGTATATTTGTATTTATGTATATATTTATGTATATTTGTATATTTATGTATATCATTATATATTTTCTTTAACCTGATCGGATCACTTAAAAATCATAAAGGCAAAACTGTGATACAATTGCATGTATAGAATCTTGGAACTGTGTAAAAAATTCTGCTCCAATAATACCAAAATAAATCAATATAATTACAATAGCTGTTCGATATTTTCTTTATTCTCCAATGTGAGCCGCCGCTCCAAATCTGCTGCGTTCAGACAACTTTCTCTTGCAATGCTGTCTGTTGCTTGTCCAATCTCTTGCTCATATCTTTTAAATGTCTTAAAGTTGATAGTTGGAATATTTAAACAGGATAGTAGTTTGTTGAGATGCGTATGTCCTAATCCACCATGAAGCACACCTTGAAGGACAATTAAAAATAGACGAATGGAAGTTATGTTTGTATTGAAAAGAATCAGGAGGATCCACGGAACCATAATAAAATGCATAGAATATTTTACAAACTTTTATGAATATGGCAGATAGCACATAATTGTATCTCTATAATTATGTGAACTTACTAATTACTGCTTTAGCATTTACGTCGAAACGAGACAAGCGTCGACTTCCCCAGTTGTGCTGTTTACCCGTGGCGACTGAATTCATGAGTAGACACTTGTGGCATCTTACCAACAATATCGAACCCAAACCTCTGTGCATTTCCTCTTCTATATATTGTAGAGAAAGAGCTTCCTTGCATGACACACACCACAATTGTTCAGCGAGAACGGAAAATTCAACAATGCGGCGTCCATCCATGTAGCTCGGTTGAGGTGACTTATCTTTTTCTTCTTTTTTTTTCAACGAGAGCAGGGGAAAAATGCTTTATGCATTCGACACGGGCAGCCGGAACATACTCTCTTCTTCTCGATGTTTTTTGACCTACACGGCGTAGCTAGTCGATATTGCGATCAGTCACTCTCCATCCATCGTAGAATACCTACGTGTCTTGCGATATACGAACCGAATTTTATAATTGTGACTCGATAGACGAATAGGAAAATTTTTATAATTGTGACTCATGAAGGAAAGTTTATAATTAAGGTGAGACTGACGTTTGATCTATCCGAATTTTTGTTTTATAATATCCACGTGGACAAACCATATCATATTTATATCTATTTATCATATTACATACACATTTATTTATTCAACAAATTATATCTATACACCACTCTATTTATACAATTATTTTAGTAATGGCTTGAGAAGGACCAAAACCGATGGTCGAAACGTCGCTTGTATTTCCAATTTTTAAATATATTAAACACATGCCAGATAAGGTCGACTAAAATTTATTATATTTATTATCACTGGCAACCTTAAGGACCCCCAAATTTAAAGTATATCCTCCAGCTCGTTCTGCTCACCTCCACCGTTGGCCAGCATGACCACCGAACAAAACTTTGAGAAGGCGGCCCACTTCTCCTTGCTCGAAAGGATCTCCTCCACCACCAGGATCAACGAGAGCTCCTGGACGCCCAGAGCCACCAAGAGCTCACCTCTCTCTATATCCCAGGCCGGACATTCAGTCAGGGTGTGCAGTGCAGAATCCTCCTCCCCGCCACAATGTGGGCAAGAAGGATCACCAATTTTGCCGATTTTGTACAGGAATGCTCCACAGCATCCATGATTAGTCAGTAATTGAGTGAGGTGGAAGTGAATCCTCCCCCACTGCCGGTCCATCCACCGCGTCCACGCCGGAACAATGGCCGCCCTCGTCCATATTCCAGGTAGGTCCTCCCTCTCCATGCATAGCCGCCACTGCCTCATCGTGAGGACGCGCTCCTCGTGCCTAACGTCCAGGATAGCTTCTCTGTTTGCTGCTTCTAGCTCCCTCAGGTCACTTATCCTGTCATAGATCCGGGCTCTCTCCCCCGCGAGTAGCCACCATGGTATCTGC